TGTCCATCAGGGTCTGGACGATTCCTTCGTATTCTTGCACCTGACTGCGATAGTACATCTGCTGTGCAAGGTTCGATGCTTCGAACTGTTGCGAAATCGTCAGTTCCTGGTAGGCATTCGGACCATCAGCTATTGCAGGCGTGGCCACGGATGACGCATCACCACGTGCAGGAATCGTATCCAGAGTCATGTCCAGATCGTCAGCATCGCGTGGTTGATTGGTAACCATCCGATTCCAAGTCATGGACTTGTCACGCCCACGAGTAGCCGAAGTCCTCGATCGTGCTGAAGAGCTTCTCGAAGATGATGGTCTTGACTTCTTTTCCAAGGTCTTGACTCCTTTGTCCTTGGCCCTGGACGTAGTCCGAGGTGCCTGAAAACCAGACGCTTCGGCCCGTCGTTCTGAAGCCTTGCCCGTCCTCGAACCTGTGGATGTCAGACGCGAAGGCGTAGATGCTCTTGGTAGACTCTTTGCTTTCCCCTTGGGAACTGCCTTTGCAATGGCAAGCGCAGAAGATTGACCTTTGTCATCTTCCGTGGAGCTATCAACGGATTGCACCACTGTGTCGTCAGCTGTTGACTCACCAACGGCTGGCGCTGCCACATCGGCACCGAAAGTCATTGTCGTATCTTGGCTTGATCCTGAGTTCATTGTGGTCGTAGTAGATCAAGTAGTCGTTGCTGTAGAAAGGCAGAGCCGCGTACGGCTGATAACCTGCGTGGGGGATTGATCTCGACTTGGTTGCTGCTCTCCCCACCAGAGCTGTAATGAATGTAGGTGTGGCTGGCTAGCACTCTCCACAGACTGGACCCTGTCTCTCCCTCTTACTTCCACACGTGCGATCCTATGCAGGCAGAACCGGCGGCCGTTCCTTTTGCACTCACTGCCGGCGGCGGTTCGTCTGTGCAACGGGATAGCTCTGATTGCTCAGGATAGAAGACACATATAGCACTTAGCTATGGGCATTGACTTGAGCCAAACGTTGCGTTGGCGGTCACATAGAAAGGTAAAGATGAGGGATGCGTAGCATGCCCCCTAGAGTCGAGGGACGCGTAGCGTGCCCCCTTCTCTTGCACTTTACACGGTCTTGCTCACAGCTCTTATAGTGACACCTTAGAACTTGACAAGGCATCGCAGTCCGTTCGCATAAACCCTAACGAACCCTAAACTCCTAAACCCTAACAAACCCTAAACCCTAAGCCCTAAACCCTTCCCAAAGGGGGGTCGGTCCAGATTGGACCCAAAATTGAATTTTTTATACAAACTTTAGTACTGGAGAGGCCTCTTTTGAGCTCTTTTGAGCATTCGGCGGTTCACCCTAGCAGCCCCCCCCCCAATAAGCAAGGCATACAGTAGCAGTACAATAGTACAATAGTAGTACAGTAGTAGTACAGAGTCCCATTCCTGACGCCCCAATAAGTGAAACAATTCTGCAAGAGATTTTAGGTCTTCAGGGCCAGGGTTTTAGGGTTGGGTGGGGGTTTGGGTGGGGGTTTAGGTCGTGGCTGCCTTAAGATCGACCATCAGCAAACAGCACAGCCCCACCACCAAAAAATCCACCAGCCAAAAAAAACGCATTAATTAGAACCCCGAAATTTTTGGTGGTGGTCGTAATTAGCCCCCGAGCCGACGCATTAAAGGAGCCTATATTCCTAAACCGACCCCCACATTAAGAAGGATCCTACTATTTAGAGTACTATATTAGGGTTCTGAAGCCCCTAATGATTTCAGGTATATTCCCTAATTAAGGGATATCGGGCTCTTTGGGGTACCCTGATTCGAAACCTTCAAGACCCCTGACCCAGCCTCGCAGTTCCATCGGATATACGGAAAAGGGTTCATCGATGGGGTGAGCTCCAATCAAGCCTCCTATGACCCTGAGTATGCCCTTATTCCCTTTTTTAGGGTTCAGGTTCCCTTACAAGCCCCTTTAAACCAAAAAGGGCATCCTGTTTATGCCTTGGTTACTCTTGGGTACAGCCTCTGTGAAAAAGGGATCGTCTTTGGGCAAGCCTCCGGCCTCGCAAGCCCAAAACCCCCTGAGAACAACCCTGAATCCCAGGGTTTAGGGTTTGAGGGTTGGGGTTTAAGGTTTAGGGTTTAGGGTTTAGGTTTAAGGGTTTAGGGTTTAGGGTTTAGGGCTTCAATTTACTTCTGGTCATATAATGTTTCTACTTCCCTGAAGCCGTAAGCTCTCATCACGATAGAACCCTTCTGAAAGCCTTCTTGAAGCCACTGCAGCAAGCCTACTCGATCCTTGCAAAACTGTGATAGCGCCTGTAGAAACCTTGGCCGAGCACTTGCAACACCAGATAAAGAAAAGAGAACTGACACTTGATGTATCAGTGGCACTTGCTTGTTGACCATTGCTTGTGCTACTCATGCAGCTTAAGGCAGCCTTCTCAAACCTGAGAGAGCCCATGTGAAAGCGTGAAACATTTCATGTCCCTCCCACGACCCTATATAAACCACAGATAAAACCCAAAAACCCCTAAACCTTCAACCCCAAGCCCTGCATAAACCCCAAACCCCAAAACCCCCGAAAACCTCAAAGCTTCAATAAGCCCCTACAAAAATCGCCTTAGCCCACCGTCAAAGCCTGAATAAGCCCCTACAAAAATCGCCTTAGGCCACCCTCAAAGCCTTGATAAGCCCGTACAAAACCGCCTTAGGCCGCCCTCAAAGCCTTAAAAAGCCCGTACAAAAAAAGTTTAGGCCGTGAACACTCCAGAGCCCGAAACCCTCAAAGCCTTAAGCCCGTACAAAAACCGCCTTAGGCCGTGAACAGCGACGCACTCCCTCCCGAGCTTCGGTCTCAGCTTCGCACGGCCTTGGGAGATCGGAAGCTGAGCGAGGAGCCAGATGACGGATTAGGGTCTTAGGGTTTTTTTTAGGAATCAGCCGGGCTTGACGTTTCGAAGGGAGGAGAGAGAGAGAGAGAGAGAGAGAGAGAGAGAGAGAGAGAGAGAGAGAGAGAGAGAGAGGGGGTTTCAGGCTTCAGGAATTTGGGGGGGTTTAGAGCGGTTTAAATCAGGGTCTAGGGGTTTTGACCGGGTTTTGGGCAATGAGGGGTTAGGAGGCAGTTGGGGATCTAGGGTTGAAAATAGGGCGTGGGTTTAGGAATTGCCGAAGGGGCCCTTTCATCTCCCGGTGGGCCTTTTTTTTCGTTTGGTTGTGGTCTAGGTTCCGTATGAAAACCACCCAGTACCAAGAAGGGAGCCCTTTTTATCCCTGGATGCATGCTGATGGGGTTGACGCCGGGAGGGGGTCGAAATTCAAGGCCGAGAGTTTTGCAGTTCAGGGTTCAGGGCTCAGGGTGTAGAGTTCAGGATTTAGGGTTCAGGGCTCAGGGTTTAGGGTTTGAGGTTTAGGGTCTCCGATTTAGGGACAAAAGCCTTGAGCCCAAAAGCTTCGGGAATTTTTGCGTCGACAATGCAGGCCCCAGGGCAAAGTTTCTATCGACCCTGCAACGCTGAAGATTAAACCCTGCACGCTAAACCTTAAACCCTGGATGCAACGGCAGAGAGAGAGAGAGAGAGAAACCTTAAACCCTACAACGTAAGCCTTTGCAATCGGAAAGACAGGCTTCAGACCTTCAGTGGAAGAGTCGGAAAGATTTCGACGAGTGGTGGGGGTCCAAGGTTTAGGAATACGGATATTTAGGCTTAGGTTTCGAGGTTGAAGTCGGGTAAGGAGGACAGTTTAGGGTGATATTTAAAGTGTGACAACGTACTGGAATCTCGCCCCAACTTAGCGGGTCTGCTAGAATAGAGTTCCTCACAGGAGCTGGGCGGGCAGCTGACGAAGGCCAGCAGCATCCAGTTTACGCTTGAAATTTTCTGCGAGTGTTCCGAAAGAGGGTTCAGCGGTGCATGGCTTATGTGTCTTGAAAGGCGTTTCCAACCACTCCGGTGAGTTGTGTCTCTGAGTTGCGGGTGCTGATTTATCTGCGGGGAGCATGCCGTGGATTGCAGAGCTCTCGATTTGTCCATGGGTTGTACACTTATCATGGGGTAGCATGGCACTAACCCACGCTAGGCAGCTTTGAGATACCTGTTATTTTTTCAGTGTCGCTGGCAAATTGTCGCATCCTGTCAGCACATCGATGGGGATTTTATCAGTTTATCAGTTTAGAAAAATTTCAATCTCTCGAAAACCCTCTGAAGGCGTGCCGGTGCTTGTCAAGGCCAAGTAGCGCCAATCCTGCCTACTGTACAGGAGAGCATCAGCGATAGATATTGTTGGAGAAAATCAGCATGTATGTTCCTTTTGGAGTAGTTGCTCCTATGAAAGATGCTGTCATGTAGTCGTCGATACGACGGCTTCCTGTCATTTGCTGAAACTCTCGCTTCGCCCACCCCCGCCCCCTCCCCACCCTTCTTTTCAGGCTGGCTTTAAATTAAAGGGTTTAGGGCTTGCTGACACTTTGCCGGGCATCAAGGAACCGTTTAGAGGTTCAGGAAATCTGGGTGTAGGATTGTTCATGCGAGCTTTGTACCTGCTCAGCTTGGAGAGGGTCTAGAAGTTACAGGTAGAGTTCATAGAAGAATAAGTTTTGCTGCATGCCTTCCTCAACTTGCCGCAGGTTGCAAGCGCTTTCTGCCACCTATGCCGCGCGAAGCTGCCCTGTACTTCTTAAACCCTGAAACCGTAAATTACCGGCACTGGAGGACTGCGATTGTGACTTCTGCTGCGCTGAAACAGCTGCAACTCTTAAGTGGGGTTATGCCTTCCCAGAGAGCCCAATACATCTTCATTGAGGAGTTTACTGAGTGTCAGAGGGATCATTGACATGTATTGAACTTTTCCTAAAGTACTAACTAACCTTAAACAGGCAAAGCCTTCACCCTCATGGCACTGCAGCAGCTCATAAACCCGGCATATCACGCAGTAGCGGTATCAAGGAGACCTCAGAAGCCGTGCCCGCGTTGTGCGAGCGTGCGAGTCGAAACCCTTCACACTAAACCGTCTTGAGCTTCCTGTGGAGGTCATTTCCCCGATGGTTGACATCCCGCTGGTGCCGAGGGAGCAGAAGGCAGATAGGGTATCCAGTTTAGGTTTTGGGGTTTAGGGTTTTGGGGGTGTAGGGTTTAGGGTTTCGGGGGTGGGGTTTAGGGTTTTGGGCATGTATGGGAAAAAGAAGGGTTTTGAGGGTTTAGGGCTTTGGGGGTTTAGGGATTAGGTTTTGGGGTTTAGGGTTTGGGGTTTAGGGTTTGGGGTTTAGGGGTTTTTTAGGGCTTTAGTTTCAAATTTGCCGGTATCTCATGAAGAACTCGAGAGCCCAGCTTGCCGGCATACAACCAAAGCCCGTGCTGAAAACGGGTTTTGGGGGTGTAGGGTTTAGTTTAGGGGTTTAGGGTGGTGCTTGAGCATCGTTCGGTGACGGTACATGGTACCAAGCACTACCTCATTACCCGCCGGAGGCCTGGATGCAAAAGGTGGTTCCTTTAAAGGGGTCTATAAGGGTTACTAAGAGGGATCTTATAATACTATCAGAGTACAATATTATAGGGGCAGAAAGTGTTTCTAGTGCCGTTTTTTGGGGGGGGTTCCTTGTCATAGGTATATACAGTATAGTATAATGGGCCCCGAAACCCTATTCTCATTACTAAGGCCCCTATATTAGGCTGTTTCTAGGGAACAGAACCTCTAAGTTACCTCGAAGGTCATATCCAAACTCGGGCTTTCATGGTTAGAGCAGGGTCTTCGGGCGTACTGTGGTATAAGAGTATAACGCTATATAGGGAGTATATAAGGAGATATCATGTCCGAGTATTCCGACCTCCTCCTTAGGCACCAAAAGAGCAAAGCCCGAAGAGCCTGCTGCAAAGCCGCGGTTAGTGTAGGGGTTGACCGGGGACTTAAACTAAGGGCCTTACTCGGAGGTTCATGCGTAGATATATATGTAGGGTTATAAGTAGGGCAACTATACTTATAACCTAAATTAGGGGATTTATAACCCCACTTATAACTACCTATGAACCTCCAAGCAACCCCTAAGCCTGACTTGCAGGCGACTTGTCTCGACTTCCTTTTCCTTAGTTCAGGGTTTCTAAAGATTCTACAAGCTCGCAGTTAGTTAGAGATGAGGTATCCCGCTCCTCAGCAGAGACTCTGGTGAGGGTTTCGTATGGTTTAAAGGGAACTCCAGAAAGTTGGAATATGGATTAATGGCAGGATCCCCTATAATTTACCTTAAAGGGGTTACGATAATGATATTCCAACTTTCTGGCTTCTACTGTACTTCAGCCGCGAAAGCGTAGTTCTTTTGGGCCAAAGCTTCCCGGATTCAGAGTTTGATCTGCTCGACTATCTAAAGGTTTCCGAAAATAGGGGACCCCAATATACGGTTGATGATATAAATCCTGCATGACCCATAATAGGGAATATATGGGAATTGTGGTATATTCCTTATTCTGGGTCATGCAGGATTTATATCATCCACCGTAGCACCCTAAATAGTGGGATCCCTATTATAAGGACCCCCAGAATAAGGAAATTACGCCTGAACCCTAAACTCCCAATCTGCTTCAGGAGGAGGTGGTGAAGAGTATCATCTCCTTTCTGATTGTGCAGAAGGAGACGCAGTGTATAGGGTTTAGGGATGACCAGTTGATCAGTTTTTGCAATCTGTCGTAGCCGTGTGGCACGATCCCACATCAAAGTCGGCGCCTCGGTTCCTGGCCTTTGCGTAGTCCAGGTGGAAAGGGTTTAGGGCGATGCCTGACATGTTGATCTAGGACCTAGAGTAGGCCCTTATTCCCTTTTTAGGGTTCACGTTCCCTTATAAGCCCCTTTAAACCAAAAAGGGCACCCTTTTTATTCCTAGGTTACTCTTGGGTCTAGTGATGCGACGACCATGGGTATGATCACGTTTAACCAAGGCAGGCTTCTGAAATCCTGGAAATCCGAAACTTAACGCTAGACTCCAAGCCGCTATAGCAGAGGTCATCTTCCGAACGCCCAGCGGTTAATCGCTCTCAGACTCCATGCGAGGCGGAAAAGGATCGTGCAAAAAAAGCCCTAACATAATATAGGGGTCTTGAGAATTACCAATACTATTTTGGGGGTTCCTTATTATATTTTTATTTAATGGGGCCCCAAAACCCTATTCTAATTAGTAAGGCCCTATAGCAGGGGCCTTCATGGCGCCTGGATCCTAACTCATCGGTCGCCCCTGCACCGCAGACAAATAAACCCTAAACCCATATGCCTCGCCTGGATTGTCCGAGTGGGAGCGCCGAAACCCTAAACCCTAAAATCACCGACTCCGAGCTTAAGCAATGCATTAAGCTTCTCTTTCAATCCCCTTTTGGGGCTAGAGTCTTTTTTTTGTTGTTTTTCGGCTTTAGCTTGACGCTCTTCTACAGTGGGAGTGGCAATGCCAACCTGGCCTAGTCGTTTATGCGCTGATTGTTAAGGCATTACGAGCAGCCCGTAAATCCCTGAAGCCCTAAACGCCTAAACCGTAGCCATGTGGGCTCAAGGTCTTTGGGCTCCGATCCTCTCAGGGGTATACGGGCCGGTAAGCTGTTGAGCGCGTGCTGCACAGCGGCCTCGTGGTGCAGCCTCTGCTGGCTCCTGCCACATTGCTTCTGGTGGCGCTGCTGCAGCGGGTGCACTTCCACAGCCAGGTTGCTTGCACCGCGGTTTCGTTTGGAGAAGCAGCATGGTGTGCCTTCAGTGCGGCGCGCGTGGCCGCTGCTGCGACTGGGCCTGTTCACTTCGTTCGCCTTTCCGACCTTGACTTGGCGATCGATGCTGCTCGAAGCGCAGCGGCGATATGGAGCTGCGCATTTGCCTTGATCATGTGCGGTCTGTATCCGCCTTGGCACGGCAAAGCCAAAGCCACGGCTAAGGTCAAGGCCAAGGCCACTCACGTCCCGCCCACTGACGGCCTTCATCTCCACGAGGTCCAGGAATGCTCCTTACTTCATGAACCGGGCACCGAGAATGGCGGCTGCCAAGGCAAAGGTTTTCCTGCACCTTATTGACACCCACTCTGGGTGCACACATTCGGGAAATATGCCAGGAGGCGATGGAGACAAGCGCGGCCTTCATCGTGCTAGGGTCGTTCGATTATGCCCGGAGGACTGCAGGAAACCTGGAACATACGGTCTGGGAAGCCTGCTTCTGGTGCACAACCCTGCAAGACGAGCCTGGCCGGCGCCCTCCATTGCTCGTGCAAATGGTGCCCAATATGTGCTGGCCTTCAAATTCCCGGGCAGTTGTGCCATACTTGGCGAGGGAAACCTGGCGATCCATTGGCAGGAGTGGACGCCTGATCAAGTGCGCCGCCTCAAGATGGAGGAGAAGGAGGATCAGTTGCACCTCTACATCCCGCAGCGCGTCCTGGTTGCGTTGATGGATGCAGTGGGCCGCCATGGCCACACAGACGACTGCCCCAGCCATGGAAACGCTACATGCAATTGCGGCTGGTCTTACCTGAACACGTGTGAGGCAGAGGACGCCTGATTTTTTTCTGGGGGGGGGCAACGATGTTCAACCTCGATGAGTCGCTCCCCATGCAGCTGAACTCCAGCCAGAGCTACTTTTCTCCGATCACGCTACCGGACGGGCGAGTGTGCTACATTTCCCGCGCGATTCTCCAGCAAATGCTTGGAGCCGCCATGTAGAGTATTTCCGGTTGCGGAGGGCGGGAGTGTGTCTCGGCTTGATAACATTGTGTGCATTCACTCTCCTGTACTGTTCCGGCCACCCGCAAACACCGCTGATGAACAATGAGGGGGGCGGCGACTTTTGCATGCGTACACCCATCAGGAATTTCAGCATTAGCAATGGTTTTCGTTGCTTCGAATGTGCTTGCCTGCAAGTGCTGATTGGGGAATTCGAATTCAATGCCATGTCGAATTTAGGAGAAACCACGAACCCGCGGTGCCTCTGATGGAACCCTTGGACTGCTTGGACTGCCTGAGCCACAGCTGGTGGCGCCACGATGCCGGGCACGGATGGAAATCTGCTGTTCTGGTAAGACAGTGCTCACGTTGAGCGTGCCATCCATATCGAACTTTGGTTCGGGCGTTTCCGGCTGCACACTGGGAAGAGGACCGAAGGTTATCTGGGACGGCTGCGAGCTTTTCGCAACTGGGAAGCAAGCTGCCTGGGCTACAGGGTTACTTGGGAAGTTCGCTGGACTGCAAGACATTGAGCTGGCTACATGCTCTACTGCATGATCGGAATACATGGTGAGCTTCTTTGCAAGGCTGTGACATACTGCATGGATCACATGCTTTTCAGAGATTCTGGTTGGCTGCATGGCTTGGAATTCGCTGCAAGACTTATTGCATGATCTGGATGGCGGATGGAACGGTGCGATGGGATGCTCAGCAAGGGAGTTTACTGCAAAGGTTGCATGACATGCCCGATTGAAACCTGGCTGTTGCATGACTGCGTAAGGGCGTAGCATACAGTGTGCCCGCGATGCGTGATGTGGGCATTAGCAGAAGTGCACATGCTGACTGCTTGGCGACGGCTGCTATTGCTAGGCCTATATGCTGCAGGAAAGTTGGCGGTTTTTTTGCTGATTGAGAAGCATCGGGAATTGGGGGTATGGCGGCATGGCTGCGATGCTGAATTCTGGAAAGGTCTGTGGGCTTTCCTGTGACTCCTCCCGTTTCGGCTTGAGTCACGGAAAGCTTGTGGTTGGGATGTCCTTGTGTAATGCCGCGGCATGTTGAAGAGACGGACGGTGCAGAAGTGTGATGCGGGAGGTTTGCCTGTTCAAGGTGAGCGACTGCAGTGTGGGAGAGTGGATGGCGCGATGTAGGATGAATCGTTTATACTGTTTTGGGAGGGCTACTGGGCCTGTATCCCCTCAGCCAATGCGCTGCTTGCCACATACCAGGAATCTCGCCCATGGTTGTCCGAGTGTGAGTGCTGAAACTCCTAAACCGTAAACACCTAAACCCCAGAGCAGGAGCAGGAGAATCTGCTGTACTTCGCCATGAAGGGCACCTACGTGGGTTCGGACCCTCGGAGTTCTCTAAATTGATTTTTAAAAGGGGTCTTTGAAGGGATCTATAAGGTTTCTAGAAAGGTGTCTAGAAGGATACTTTAAGAGTAGTTCTCTAAATTAGGGTCCCTTCTGGGGTCCCTTTCATAAGGGTTGGGGCGCAAAAAGGACCAATCCATTGAATACCCATATATAAAGGCTTAATCACCAAATACTATGCTTAAGGGCTCTATGAGGGTTCCGTATGGGTTTATGGTTTAGTTCGGGGTACTTGCCCATAATGATATTCCGCGAGCTCCTTTTTGTTTTCCTTATATATGCCCTCACATCCAATTCCAAGGCGCCTCTGTTGGGATCTTGTGTCAAGGTTTAGTGTATAGATTGTCGGGCTGAGGGTGCGAAAATTGTTTGCACCGCTGTGCGCCGTGCTTACTTCCGTTGCTTAATTATTCCGGGTACTAGCGAGAGGCCGTCCTATCCTGCTCATTCATCGGCAACTGCCAGTCGACCTTTGTGCCCTGCACCAGTACTCGTGAGATTGGAAGTTTGCATCGAAGGCGAAGTTCGCCTATACCACTGGCCGGGAGATGCTGAATGCTGCCGCTGCTTTGCGAATCTCGGCCCCGTCAGGATGCAGGTTAGACAGGGTTTCGGGCTGAAGCTGGTTTAGGGTTTAGGGTTTGCATACACTCCAAGTCCGTATTAAAGCAAAACGCTTAATTAAGGGTATATGTGTGCGGATCTCTGCATGAATCCAAGGTTTCGAGCTAGGCCCCGGGACTTTAGAAACAAGGTCTTTAACCCTACGCCCCGAGGCTTAAACTAACCCGAGACCTCAATCCCCTAAAGTTTTAAAGACGACATACCTCAAACCCTAAAACCCCCTGCTATAAGCCAAAGAAAAGCAGATTAACATATATATATATATATATAGATAGATAGATAGATAGACAGATAGATAGATAGATAGATATACCGCATATATATATATATATATATATACATATATATACATACATACATGCACACATTATGGTTATGTAAAGCAGGGTAGGCTACACATTACCTGCATGCTATTTCAACTGAACCTGCAGAGATGTCACATCTGCCGTCTTTGGCAAACGCAAGCCGAGCGCTGCATCTCGGTCCGTCTGGCTTGATGGGCAAGCCCTAAACCCTAGAACCCTAAAGCCCTGAAACTTGAACCTGAACCCTAAAGGGAGGGATGCAGGGTTTCTACTGTACATGCACTGAAGACAGGCAGGTTTAGGTACCCTTATAACACCCTTTATGCCGAAAAGGGCAGTCTTTTTTTGCCTAGGTTACTCTTGGGTCTAGTCTACACCCTGAACCCTAAAGTGGCGCGGTTCGTTCGTGGCTGTTGTATGGGAGCGGAGAAGGTCGTCGAGTGCATGTTTCACCTGTTCAGGCTCTGCAAGCTTGGGGTCTGGGGTTCACGGCCTTTAGATGGGGTTTTTGAGGCTTTACGGTTTTTTATGGAGTCTTAAGTTGCTCTGTAGTTGTGCGATGGTTTCGCCTGGGCGTCCCGCCTTTGCGTCGCTATCATTGTGGTACTTCCGCTCCCGAATCAGCAATCACCTCCAGTAGTTGTGTTACTTGGAGGTCCTAACAGCTAGTTTGATTTGGCACCTCTTTGGAATGGTAGCCATGAGCTCTCTCTGCACAGGGTTTGGACTAGTGACTAGAGTTTATCGGGATTGTGTTGCCTTTGCTGGTCGTGTCGTCCTCACTCCACGAACCTATAAAAGTGTGCCTCGCCTGGCAATTCAGAGCACGACCGCCGGAATCCTGTAACCCTTTAAACCGCTAAACCTTAAACCCTACACCTTACACACACCCACACACCCACACACCCACACACCCACCCGCGCGTGCATACACACCAAAACCCACACCCACACCCTAAACCGTTCCTTTGACCTTGACCACAACCCTGCAGGGTTGGCGAGCGGCAAGAGTCCAAACCCTGAGACAGGAAGCAAAAACACTGGTTTGAGCTAGGTGGCAATTTGGGAAGTCGTTCAATTCCCCTTTAACCAAAAACACTGGGTTGAGCTATTCCCCTTTATGGTTCCTACAGAGGCACCTGTTCATAAATACTTTCAGAGCGCCAAAACTGCAACCCAGTCAGGGCTTGGGGTTTCGCGGTTAAGGATTTAGAGCTTAGGGTGTAGGGTTCCCCTAAACCCTAAACCCTAAACCCTAAACCCTAAACCCTAAACCCTAAACCCGAATAATCCGTAAGAAGCCTTTAACAGCCCAAAAGCATGCAAAACCCTGAAGTTTCTGCAGCCCCGCTTGGAGGGTCGAGGGACTGAGTAAGGAGGTAGTAGGTAGACTGATAAGTACCCTAAAAGGGACCCTTAATTGGGGTTATGGTACTTATAACTTTACCAGTTACTAAGTCCCCCGACCCTCCAAGCAAACCTTGAGACAGGAAGCAAGAAGAGTCGCCAGCAGCTTGCGAAGAAGCTTTCCAAGCAGATGAGCTTGCCTTTCCTCTCGGAGGCCACCCTCTGATCAAACCCACGAAGCCTACAACTCTAAAACCTTGAAGCGCTAAACTAAGACAGAAGGGGCCCCCACCCTGTAATAGTGGTATAATAGGAATAGAATGGGTTTCGGGTTTAAGTAGGTAGGTTCGGGTTTAGGGTACTTTAAGGGTTCTATAAGGATATATAATAAGGTTACTATAGGGGCCTCAATAATTAGCCATACTATTTTCGGGGGTTCCTTATTACAAGTATAGTATAATGGGCCCCGAAACCCTATTCTAATTATTAAGGCCCCTATATTACAGTTTAGGGTTTCGGGTTTATGTAGGGTCGGGAGGTTGGAATGGGTTGAGGGTTGATCGTTTCTATGGGGCTGTTTAAGGTGTAGCTTTTGTCGGAAGAGTTCCTTTGAGGGCTTCCTTTAAATGTCGTACAGGAGTTTCGAGGTTCAGCTCGAGAAGGACCTAGAGTTCCCTTTTTGTAGTAGAGCAGACACCCGTAAGCCCCCGGAACATTCAATCCTGAATATCTAGATTTACCCTAAGGCTCCAAGTAGTTCCTACTTATGGTTTTTGGTACCTAAAAAGGCCCTAAAGTCCTATAATAGGGAGTACTTGGACCCTCTGGGTTAGGGTTTAGGGGTAAGTCCTCCCAAACCCAAAACCTGAACCCTCAATCCGAAACCCCAAACCTTATTGTTGACCTCGCCCTCATCCTGCAGGGGGCCGGTTCGAAGTGTCTGTTCCGGATGATTAGGTACGGCCCCCACTCAGTAATAGTTGAATAATATTCGTAATATAGATATATTAGGACCTTAATAGTAGCCCTACTATAGACTCTTACTGCATGGGGGCCGTACCCAAATGATAGACTTCAGTGTTGACGCTTCGTCTTTTGAAGAAGGTTCCGCCACGGTCTCGTCACGTAAATGTAAAGGTGCGGAACATAGTGATATACTTTAGAAGGGGCCCCCACCCTGTAATAGTGGTATAATAGGAATATAATCGGGCCCTACTATAATCCTTATAGTCGCAATTACAGGGTGGGGGCAGCTTCTAAGAACTATTCCTGAAGGTTCCCACATTCTTGTAATTGTAAGTTCATCCAGTAGTGTCATGTACCCAAAACCATCTAAAGGACACCCAAAAAGGCCCGATTCTAACTTGTAAGGCCCCCGCCTATGATGCACCTAGTACCGGGTGCCTAAGTAATTACCTAACTTTTGGGGTTCCTTATTCTAGTATAACGGGCCCCAAAACACTGTTCTAATTATTACGGCCCCTATACCAAAGACCCACTGACAGGACATGGGCTTGGGAATCGTCCAGGCAGTCGTTGATGCTTTAGGAGATCTCGCGCCTTAGCGGCATTCGTCCGGATGATAGTAGTACTCTTACCTTAAACCCTAAACCCTAAACCTTAAACCCTAAGCTCTAAACGGCCCCTGAAGTTTCGTATAAGGGCCCTGTCAGGATGTGGACCAACCCACGAACTGCAACACCCTCAATCCAGGAATAAGCTTCAAATCAAATATTTGGAGGGTCGTAAAGGGGGAAGTAGGTAGGTAGTTAGTTATACAGCTTGTGCAGTTATAAGGATTCTTCAACCCCAATGAGGATCACTTTAGGGTACTTATAACTCTATTTGTGACCTACTTACTAAGTCCTCCGACCCTCCAAGTACAGTACAGGATCTTCCTGAAGGTCAGGGATATTTCTCACCATCTTCTAAGAGTTGCTGCGAACTTCCGACTTCAAGTTATCAGATCTCCCACTTCCGTCACACGGTGCTCTGTCTGAGACAACCGGGTCCTCTAGATTGGTATCGGAGAAAGAAGGGACCCTAACATACATCCTACAAAGGTAAGGACGCCGGACAAGGCCATCAGAACCCGTTAAGAAAACTTGCGTAACGCCCGACAACACCGCTGCAAGAAGCCTTGTAACTTTTCAGGAAACCGTCCAGAACAGTCGAAAGACTTCCAAAATCCTACGAAGCCCGCTGACGTCCTAGAGCCCAGGGCTTTCATGGCTCAGAATGTTACTCTCGGGGCCTCAATAATTACCTACCATTTTGGGGGCTCCTCATTCTAACTATAGTATAATGGGCCCCAAAACCCTATCCTAAGAATTAAGGCCCCTATAGAAGGGATCTCGGGTGTGTTTTGGGTGTTCAGGTCGCTGGACTAATGGGCAGTGCAGGACGTGATGTCGATTCTGGTGTATTTTCAAACTTACCCTACACTCCAAGGTGATGCATGACCCTGTCCCCAGACTACTTGGAGGTTCATGGGTAGTTATAAGCCCCCCCTAATAATCTAATATGGGTTATAAGTATAGTTACCCTACTTACAACCCCACTTATAAGTACCCATGAACCTCCAAGTAGCTACATCCAAATCCGAATCTAGGAGCTTCAGGATTTACTCTAAAAACCTAAACCTGGAGCTCCTACATAAACCGTGTAGCAGCTTAGCATTAGTGCTTGTCGCCCTCTGAAGGATTTCAGACAAGTGCCCGTCTTTACGTAGATTTTGCCCTGTCGAATGACAACGACAACTGGTCTGGCCCATGCCATCGTGTCCATGGCTCAGTCTCGCTGGCAGATGGTGCGGCAGGAGATTGAAAGCGACTACGCCGACTACTTCCTGGAAGTGAAAGCAGTTCAGCGTCAAAATGGGCGACGCCACTTCCAAATAGAGAACGGCCCAGAAATTGTAGTCTGCACCAAGAAGGGCTTTGCAGTGAAGAGTTTGGACGAGCTTGCTCCATCTGGCCACTTCGGCTCAGCTGCACGACTCGTGAACTTCATGTCGGCATACGGCTTCGAATGCTACGGTCACACCATCCAGGACATGCTCGAATTCCATGACCAAGGGAGGTTCCTCTTCTACTTGAAGGTGCGGAGAAGCTTCCTGAGGGCCAACCGTGAAGTGCTAGAGTCGGATTCCGAGCCACCTGAGTCGTGGGGTGATTTTCAAATCGGTGAGACGTCGCCTCAGTCTGTATGAGTTGTAGGATATAGGTTGCCGAGCGTAGATGTTTCTTGATTTTTCGGCTGCCTCACTTGGAAGCTTCTTTGGAACCGCACGAAGCGCTTTGTGCTGAAGCTTCCCTGCCGATGTGGCATCCGCCTTCAGTTCTGCATGCCAGACTCTGCGAGGAGGTCGTTCTCAAAGAGCTGGAGTGGAGGACCAGGCCAGGTTGTCCCGACGCGAATCCGGCAGTGACGGCATGAAAGCAGAAGCGGCTGTCCTGTCCTGTTGCGCTTTCCTGCTGCAGGCCCAAGAGAGGTCGCAGGATAATTGAAGTTGTGAACATCACAGCATGTGCGAAAAGCTCTCTTACCGTCAGGCTTCTCATCATCAGCAACAATCCGGCGACCTGTAGCACCATGATCATGATGATGACGATGATGACCACCATCCGCGTCACTGGCGTCAGCATGTGCTGCATCATCACCATCGGCTTCTGCTGCATCAGACTCATCGAACCCCGGTAACCAAAATCATACTTATCGCGATCATTCTCGTGATCATCACCTACCTACAGGTTCATGGGCAGTTATAAGTAGGATTGTAAGTCGGGCAACCGTACTTATCACCCAGATTAAACATTAAGGGACTCAAAGCCCCACTTATATATAAGTACCGATGAACCTTCAAATATTCTTCATCATCACTCCCAGCTCCATCATCGTCGTCATCGCTTCGCTCCTTGATTAACGGAACCACTGAAGACCCCCAAATTCGCGAGCTCCAAACCCGCACCAACATATGCCATCAGCAACTTGAACCCTAAGAGTCCCTTTACCAAGACTTGAACCTAGTAGTAGAGTAGGTGACCTTTAACCGTTTTGGGGTAGTATATTCCCTATATAATCCCTATAAAACCAAAAGTTTTAATCTTTAGTTCCCATGATACCCGACAAGTAAGTGAATCTTAAACTGTCCCAAACTCCCGCAACGCAAATCCTAGACCCCGCCTTAAGGAAGTTCTACTCCAAGGTTGGAAGTATCGGCCCCTAACATGGACCCTTAGGCCTTGCTGAGGGGGTTCTAGGGACCCGTGGGTATATGGGGATCCCAAGGTTAAGGGCCCATACTGGGGGCCATGGCTTCAACCGTTGATCCTAAGCCCTTCGTCGTCCAGGTGCTGAGCAAAGTACCGGCACGAGCTTTGGAAGCAGCTGTCAGCTCTGGCAAGGATGGGCGTTGACGGGGGGAGGGGAGGGTTTGGGGGTTTAGGGTTTAAGGGGTTTAGGGTTTAGCGAATGAGTAGTCCGTACTAGAGTAGTCACTTACAAGCCTTGTTAATCATACCACAACAAGCCAGCCCCGCGACCTCAAAACCGATTTAGCCCTCCTGCCCGTGTCTTGCAATTACCTTACCCTTGGGGTTTAGGGCTTTTATAGTGTTAGGGCTAAAGAGATCCAAACCTAAACCCTAAACCCAACACCCTCCAGCCTGAAGCTTTTATCTCCGGAGCAGGAGCAGGAGGTGCAGGAGTTTCTGACGGACGCCCGGCGCATTTTTCGTTTTGTCTTAAAGCGCGGAGTTTACGGGGTTTGACTAAAGAAAATGAATTTGTGTATGAGTGGTGTCTTTACAGTTTAGGGTCCAAAATTTTCGGTTCATGTTTAACAAATTTGACGCAATAGCGAAGATTGCGCAGAGAGAGAGAGAGAGAGAGAGAGCGAAGATTGCGCAACTCATATTTCTGGCCTGGCGCAGTTCTGAGAGCGAAGTACTTCGACGACCCGATGAACTACCTTGGTTGTGTGGGGCTTACGTCTAGCGTCTACGGTTTAGGGTTTACTGTTTAAGAAAGTGCTTCCTGCAGCTGTTGCGTCTGTAAGTAAGTAAGAGCATAACTCAACCGGGAACAGTAAACCTATACACCCCAGCAAGAAACCCTCTACCCGAAACCCTTAACCCAACTCGGAGAGCCAGAACCGAAACCCCAAGCCATAAGCCCTGGAACGGTGCGTTCGAATTCCCCCAAACGAGGATCGTATTGAGAACCCTAGTAGTTGCAACGAGGGTTCCTGAATCGTTTCCTTACCATCCATTCGGCCGTGTTTTGCTTCTGACCTGATTGGGTACTTTTGCCACGGAAGCTAAGGAAACATTGGTCGGCAGCGATCTGCAGTTGCTCAACGCTACAGTAGGTGATACATGTTAATGAGAGGGCTACTCTGATTGGCGTTAGGATTTCAGGGCTCAGGGGGGTTTAGGCTTCCAGAAACCCCAATCCCCAAACCCTGAACCCAAGACCCTTTTCGTGATCTCAGGCATTTTGCCAGCCTTGGTTCCTTTCAAAGATGTTTGGCAGGGTGTCCATCGTTTCGGAGAGAGAAGACCATTTTGCAACATTCCTCAACCGTAAACACTACCTGGACCATAAGAAAGCTTCATGTTTTAGGGTTCCTTGCTTTGATCTCTTTCTGAGGGTCCTTAAACAGGTAGGGTCTGTAGTGTCCTGAACCCTAGACTCTGCACACTAAACCCTAAACATACCCTCCAAACGGGCCTCATCCTTGCTACATACGAAAACCTTAACCCCAAGTAGCCTACCTTTTCTTGGTGGCCGTTTCGGGGATTTTTAATTTTTTGGTGTTTTGTGGGGTTCATTGCATGCAACCAACTGCAGCCTTCAGGCTCGAGGGGTCAGACCAGGCATCAATCCAACCAGGTGTTTCCAGTGGGAACACCTGGTTAGAATTGATGCCTGTCGGGGGATGCACGGACATCCCTCACCCTTGCAAGATGTCTGTGGTCCCACCACCGACATCTTGCAGGGGTGAAGGATGTGCGTGCATGAACCCCGACCGAGGCCCCAGCGTGCATGGATAGAGACATCCATCACCCCCGCAAGATGTCTGTGGTCCCACCACTGGCATCTTGCGGGGGTGAGGGATGTCCTTAACCCGTGCCGCCATGTCTTCATGGACTTCGTCGTGATCACTCTTCGGCTGTGGCCGCAGCCGCAGCCTCAGGGGAGGGGGGCAGGGCGACCACAATAATCATAGTATTATACATAATCACCTGCCGACGGCCGCCGCGGCTCTTCGAAGACAAGCCGCTTGCATGCATGCCTAGAGTGTTTGCTCACCACATGCAATCAGAGTCAGCTGCTTTGACTTGCGAGTGTTGCCACTGGAGTGTTTGCCGAGGACCACATGCGATGACAGTCAAGCGGCTTGCCTTCACGAAGAGCCGCGGCGGCCGTCGGCAGGTGTTCAAAACCTCAGTGGAACTGACTGAAACCTGGGAGCCTAAAGTGCCTGGGAGCCTAAAGTGCCTGGGATACTGCATGCCTAGAGTGTTTGCTCACCACATGCAATCACAGTCAGCTGCTTTGACTTGCGAGTGTTGCCACTGGAGTGTTTGCCGAGCACCACATGCAATGACAGTCAGTTGCTTTCACTTTAGGCTCCCAGGCACTTTCGGCTCCCAGGCACTTTAGGCTCCCAGGTTTCAGTCAGTTCCACTGAGGTTTTGAACACCTGCCGACGGCCGCCGCGGCTCTGCAAAGGCAATCCGCGAGTGTTGCAGGCGCCCGTGGAGTGTTGCCCCTGGAGTGTTTGCCGAACACCAAATGCAATGACAGTCAGCTGCTTTGACTTGCGAGTGTTGCCACTGGAGTGTTTGCCGAGCACCACATGCAATGACAGTCAGCTGCTTTGACTTGAAATTCCTGTCACGGTGGCTCCCAGGCACTTTAGGCTCCCAGGCACTTTAGGCTCCCAGATTTCAGTCAGTTCCACTGAGGTTTTGAACACCTGCCGACGGCCGCCGCGGCTCTTCGTGAAGGCAAGCCGCTTGCATGCATGCCTAGAGTGTTTGCTCACCACATGCAATCACAGTCAGCTGCTTTGACTTGCGAGTGTTGCCACTGGAGTGTTTGCCGAGCACCACATGCAATGACAGTCAGCTGCTTTCACTTTAAAGGCTCCCAGGCACTTTAGGCTCCCAGGCACTTTAGGCTCCCAGGTTTCAGTCAGTTCCACTGAGGTTTGAACACCTGCCGACGGCCGCCGCGGCTCTTCGAAGACAAGCCGCTTGCATGCATGCATGCCTAGAGTGTTTGCCGTCACCACATGCAATCACAGTCAGCTGCTTTGACTTGCGAGTGTTGCCACTGGAGTGTTTGCCGAGCACCACATGCAATGACAGTCAGCTGCTTTCACTTTAGGCTCCCAGGCACTTTAGGCTCCCAGGTTTCAGTCAGTTCCACTGAGGTTTGAACACCTGCCGACGGCCGCCGCGGCTCTTCGAAGACAAGCCGCTTGCATGCATGCCTAGAGTGTTTAATCACCACATGCAATCACAGTCAGCTGCTTTGACTTGCGAGTGTTGCCACTGGAGTGTTTGTCGAGCACCGCATGCAATGACAGTCAGCTGCTTTCACTTTAGGCTCCCAGGCACTTTAGGCTCCCAGGTTTCAGTCAGTTCCACTGAGGTTTGAACACCTGCCGACGGCCGCCGCGGCTCTTCGAAGACAAGCCGCTTGCATGCATGCCTAGAGTGTTTGCTCACCACATGTAATCACAGTCAGCTGCTTTGACTTGCGAGTGTTGCCACTGGAGTGTTTGCCGAGCACCACATGCAATGACAGTCAGTTGCTTTCACTTTCGGCTCCCAGGCACTTTAGGCTCCCAGGCACTTTAGGCTCCCAGGTTTAAGTCAGTTCCGCTGAGGTTTTGAACACCTGCCGACGGCCGCCGCGGCTTTGCAAAGGCAATCCGCGAGTGTTGCACGCACCCGTGGAGTGTTGCCCCTGGAGTGTTTGCCGAGCACCAAATGCAATGACAGTCAGCTGCTTTGACTTGCGAGTGTTGCCACTGGAGCGTTTGCCGAGCACCACATGCAATGACAGTCAGCTGCTTTGACTTGAAATTCCTGTCACGGTGGCTCCCAGGCACTTTAGGCTCCCAGATTTCAGTCAGTTCCACTGAGGTTTTGAACACCTGCCGACGGCCGCCGCGGCTCTTCGTGAAGGCAAGCCGCTTGCATGCATGCCTAGAGTGTTTGCTCACCACATGCAATCACAGTCAGCTGCTTTGACTTGCGAGTGTTGCCACTGGAGTGTTTGCCGAGCACCACATGCAATGACAGTCAGCTGCTTTTACTTTAAAGGCTCCCAGGCACTTTAGGCTCCCAGGCACTTTAGGCTCCCAGGTTTCAGTCAGTTCCACTGAGGTTTGAACACCTGCCGACGGCCGCCGCGGCTCTTCGAAGACAAGCCGCTTGCATGCATGCCTAGAGTGTTTGCTCACCACATGCAATCACAGTCAGCTGCTTTGACTTGCGAGTGTTGCCACTGGAGTGTTTGCCGAGCACCACATGCAATGACAGTCAGCTGCTTTCACTTTAAAGGCTCCCAGGCACTTTAGGCTCCCAGGTTTCAGTCAGTTCCACTGAGGTTTGAACACCTGCCGACGGCTGCCGCGGCTCTTCGAAGACAAGCCGCTTGCATGCATGCCTAGAGTGTTTGCTCACCACATGCAATCACAGTCAGCTGCTTTGACTCGCGAGTGTTGCCACTGGAGTGTTTGTCGAGCACCGCATGCAATGACAGTCAGCTGCTTTCACTTTAGGCTCCCAGGCACTTTAGGCTCCCAGGTTTCAGTCAGTTCCACTGAGGTTTGAACACCTGCCGACGGCCGCCGCGGCTCTTCGAAGACAAGCCGCTTGCATGCATGCCTAGAGTGTTTGCTCACCACATGCAATCACAGTCAGCTGCTTTGACTTGCGAGTGTTGCCACTGGAGTGTTTGCCGAGGACCACATGCAATGACAGTCAGCTGCTTTCACTCTAATAATAGTATCCCAGGCACTTTAGGCTCCCAGGCACTTTAGGCTCCCAGGTTTCAGTCAGTTCCACTGAGGTGTTGAACACCTGCCGACGGCCGCCGCGGCTCTTCGAAGACGAGCCGCTTGCATGCATGCCTAGTAGAGTGTTTGCTCACCACATGCAATCACAGTCAGCTGCTTTGACTTGCGAGTGTTGCCGCTGGAGTGTTTGCCGAGCACCACATGCAATGACAGTCAGCTGCTTTCACTTTAAAGGCTCCCAGGCACTCTAGGCTCCCAGGCACTTTAGGCTCCCAGGTTTCAGTCAGTTCCACTGAGGTTTTGAACACCTGCCGACGGCCGCCGTGGCTCTGCAAAGGCAATCCGCGAGTGTTGCACGCACCCGTGGAGTGTTGCCCCTGGAGTGTTTGCCGAGCACCAAATGCAATGACAGTCAGCTGCTTTGACTTGCGAGTGTTGCCACTGGAGTGTTTGCCGAGCACCACATGCAATGACAGTCAGCTGCTTTGACTTGAAATTCCTGTCACGGTGGCTCCCAGGCACTTTAGGCTCCCAGGCACTTTAGGCTCCCAGATTTCAGTCAGTTCCACTGAGGTTTTGAACACCTGCCGACGGCCGCCGCGGCTCTTCGTGAAGGCAAGCCGCCAGTTTTGCATGCACCTGCGGAGTGTTGCATGCATGCCTGGAGTGTTTGCCGTGCACCACATGCAATCACAGTCAGCTGCTTTCACTTGCGTTTCCTGTCACGGTGGCTCCCAGGCTCTTTCAGGCTCCCAGGTTTCAGGCTCCTGAAGCAGGAGTCAGACCAGTTCCTGGGTTAGCATATGTCAAGCAGCGCGGACAGTGACATCATGGCTGCATTGAAGCTCCGAGCGAAGGCGGTCGAGTCCACGGACACCGCCGCAGCTGCGGCTGCACAGCCGTCCGAGACGGTGGATTCGGAGGGCTTCACAGTGGTCTCAGATCCCGCCACAAAGGAGGACCAGGAGGAACAGCAGCAGCCTGGGTCGGGATCGACTTCGTTGGCCAAGGCCAGCGACGATGCCACTTCTTCGGATGTCGGCGAGAACATCCCACCAGTGCTTCAGTCCATGGTCAAAGGGGCGATGCTGCAGTACAAGACTAAGGATCTCCAGTCCTACTATATGCACATTGGCTTCATTGAACGACTAGACTTGTATTAAGACTTTGGGAGCCGGTAGTAAATTCAAATTAAATTTAAATATTTATATGATAAACATAAAAGATCCTCCAGGCACCTGAAGCAAGCGCCGGAGCTGCTGCAAGACCGTTACGACACGGCTGAGCAGTTCACGTGGGCACTGGCAGGGT